ACACACACACACGCACAACTAGACAAACAGGCAGATAGATAGATGATTGATTGATTGATAGATAGATAGATAGAGGAATTTAAAAATATCTAGAATACATAGCAGACAACTGAGACTGGGGAGTAGAGAAGGTGAAGATGTTTGCTTTTAATCTTCACAACTTGATATTCTCATTTTTTAACAGAGTATAAATTAGACCTGCCCCCATGATTCAATTACCTCCCACCGGGTCCCTCCCCCAACACATGGGAATTCAAGATGAGATTTAGGTGGGGACACAGCCAAACCATATCACAAGTGGTAACTCTATGTAGTTTTTTTAACAGCACTATGAGGTGTGGGAATCCCAGGCATGAGACAAGAAGGCTGGACAGCGTTCCTGGATCACACAGATGAGTACTGGTGAAGTCGACCGAGGGATCCTTGTCTAAGGGGCTGCTCTCACCACTGCGCCCCTCCCCAGTGCCTTGAATTCTAATGCTGAATATTTGTATGTTCTCGGCTTTTCTCTTAGCCTTGCCAAAAGTTTGTCATCAGTAGTATTTAATGTCAAAGAATAAAGGTTTGAATTACTATATTTGTTACAGTTTTTCAGGTTCTAGGTCATTAATTTCTACTATATCTTTGTTTTCTTACTCATGCTTTTGTTGGGGCTTTTTAAATTGTTTATTTTTTGCTTCTGCAGTAAAATGGATATTTCATTTGCAACTTTCTTCTAGATAAAAACCTTGAAAACTTACAAAGTTCTCTCCTAGCACAATGTGGGTTACATCTCATATATTATGGCATCTTCTAAACAATCTGTTTATTCAGTTTTAATTTTCTCTATCATTTTCTTTGAGTTAACAGCTCATGGATTATTCAGGGAGTATTTTTAATTTCCACATGGTTTTTAGATTTGGTGTTAAACTTTTTATTACTTAAATTCTTTTGCTTATTGTCAGAAAATATGGCTTATGAGAATGCCTTGTATTGAGCTCTTTTTTGACACAGAAGCTATAATCAATGTTTAACTATACTATGGACATTTGAAGACAACATTTTCTTTAAAGAAATACTGAGTAAATAAAACATATTACATTATTCAGTTCTCTGTAAAGTTTATGTACTTAACATAAAAAGCAGAGATATTGTTAAGTAGCCTACTAAGAACATGCTTTGCCAGTTTCTTATTGCATTTATAACAACTTTTATTTTATATCTTTTGATGCTGTTATTTAGTTTTTAAACATCCCTGGCTATTACATTCTTATAATAAATTATACTTTAAAAATTAATATAAAGTAGCCCGCTTTGTCCCTCATTCCTTGTTTTCTCTCAAGTTCTACTTTATATGATATAAATATTACACTTTGGGGTTCATTTTATTTTTTGTCTCATATTTCTTTAAGAATTTACTCATCTATTTTCTATGTCATTTTGCTTCATACACATGTATGTGTATATAAAATTTAATATGACAATATTTTTTGTAAAGGAAGTTTGATCCATTTATATTTATTGTATATTATCATGAGTGATCTTCTTGATAAGAGTTCTGAAACACACACACATATTACTTTTGACTTCATTCACTGCTATTAACACAGGTATATGACATTTTAAAAAATAAATCACCCTGATCTAACTTAAGGCTTCAAATCATTCATGTATACATTTGTTCCAGGAATATTTGTAAAGTCTCTATTACATCATGGCATTGTACTAGCCACTGAAAACCCTTTGGTGAAAAAGATATATATGAGTTTTGCCATCATGAATGAAACTTACCTTCTAAAATTACTAACAGCAGGACAACGATGCAATCTGTGTGCTTTCTATCCAAGGCCACTGCTCTCCCTGCTTTACTTACTTTGACTTATTAAATTTTCACAACTAAATGACTTTCTACCAATGAGCAAATTGAGAACCACAGAGTTTTAAAAACATACCTATTGTTATCTACTTCGCATGTGGTGGATGCAAGTTGCTAATGTAGATCTGAATACAGAGCCAGTCACTATGAACACGCTACCCACCAACATGTGCTGTCTCTCTCTTCGGGTTCCAAGCTTTCCATAAGGCTCCCAGGTTGCCGAACCATCAATCCCAACCACTTTGAAGACCCATCCTAATGCTTCCCTGCTGTTCACAACTACACCATGTGGTGACGGAACAGCTGTTCTATTTTGCTTCAGGCTGTGTTCCTGGGAACCACTAGCCATTCCTCGTGCTCACTGGGTCTTACTCTCACTGGCCCCACGGACTCCCTGAGGTTGTCGGTGACTTCTGTTGGGTTCCAGGTGCAGGCACCCTTTGTCACAAAGATGACCTCTGGAATGTTCTCAGCCTCCTTCCATGCCCTCACGCACCTTTGAGAATGTCTTGATGCTTTCCATGCCACAGAGACAAGGACACTAAGCTCAGGTCCTCACTCTACCTATTTGAGCTGTGCAGCCACTAGCACTGTGAGAAGACCACCCTGAAGTGTTGGAGCAGGGGCATCCTACAAGGCCATATTTGCACACTGCCCCTCTGCCCTTGACAGGTGACCCTCCATCTTTCTGGATTTTTGCCATGCACTCCCACCCTCACCCCACAGCCTGCCCATCAACCTTGAGGAGAAGGTCCCACACAGGGCATGGACAGGTCCTGGCACTGTGCTGCTTTACTCTCTGCTTTGCCTTCCCTGCCCCACGGTGCAGTGGAACCTGACAGGCCATCCCTCTTCTCTTTCTGTTCCACTGCACCTTCCAGACACAGAACTCCATGATCAAATCCACTTTGCCTAGCTTTGAATATGCCAAAAAGGGAGCTCCCCAAACTGGGAAATATTTTTCTTTCTCTAAAAGCTTGGCCTTCGGGCCTTGTGTGTTTCTGTGAACTCAGATAGCTTCATTAGCATGCAGAACCTGCCTGTCCTTCCCCATATGAGTAAACCTGCTGTCTGCATCCTGGCAGGTCACCCTGTTCCCTGCAGGGCAGGAGGCTGCCCAGGTGGTAGGAGAAGCCCATATACCAGGAAATGCAAAGCATAAAATTACATCAATGTATCTCAAAAATGTTTGCCCTATTTCATAACAACTCGAGAAGTACATGGCACAGTGACATCACTAAAGAGGAGAATATTTGCCTACTTTGAGACTGAAAAAAAAAGATTTCTTAAGGAAGTAATGCTCAAGGTGAGTTTTGAAGGACCATGGGAAGAACCTGGAGGAAGAGGAAGTGACATTTTTTTTCGGGCAAAAGGAATGGCGTCTGCAAACAGCCAGAGGCCCCCGGAGCATCTGTGTTTAAACAACTGAAGAAAGCCCACGGGACTGCAGAACAGAGAGAGAACAAGGGGCATAAGGAGATGCCAGGCAGTGGGCTTTGGTAGGGCAGGGACAGCTTGTGTTTGTCAGGCATGGCTGTGTCTCCTTGCTCCAAAGGGAAGGAGAGGAAAAATAGGAGGGGCCGGCAGCGAATACTGTTGCGGCAGCTCTGGCACAGAGCACATAAGATTACAAAATCTGATGCCTGCTAGGGTTGGTTTCATGCCCTTTTCAGCTGACGCACTCATGATCCACAGATTGAAGAAGGCAAGGGTCGTGAGCTCTGGGCGCCAGCTCTGCCTAAGGACCGAACCCCGGGAAACCTCCTGCTCCCTTCCTGCGTTACCCCATCTTCTCCCAAGCTGCCCCACCCTCAATTGTGGAATTTAATTCTCCCAGAAGGCCAGGCATGGTGGCTCACACCTGTAATCCCAGCACTTTGGGAGGCTGAGGCTGGTGGGTCACAAGGTCAAGAGATCGAGACCATTCTGGCCAACACGGTGAAACTTTGTCTCTACTAAAAATACAAAAATTAGCTGGGCGCGGTGGTGGGCACCTGTAGTCCCAGCTACTCAGGAGGCTGAGGCAGGATAATCTATTGAACCCGGGAGATGGAAGTTACAGCGAGCTGAGATCATGCCACTGCACTCCAGCCTGGGTGACAGAGTAAGACTCCATCTCAAAAATATAAAAAAAAAAATTCTCCCAGCCATGCTCAGAGCCAAAGCAAGCAAAATGAGGGTCCTCCACAGAGTGATTCTCCTGTGCCCTCCTTAGCTGTCCACCAACACTGCCTCCAGTTATCCCAGGCCTGAAATGCACTTGAGAACATGTCCTCAAATCCAGTGGAAAAGTCCACACTATTTTGGGAGCACAGAGCATCAGACAGAGCTCCCAACCCCACCGCTTCCTGTCCTTTGCCTTGAGGACATCCCTCAGGGTAGGCCTGTGGACCAGGAGTGGGCAGCCCAGCCCCTTCGATTTCACAACTGCCTGGTTTCCTCTCTGGTGGAAATGCACAGGTGGTGACAAAACTGGACGAATTTCATCTTCTTCACTCTTGTTTCAGAGCTGTGAGTTACAGTCAGTTACGGTGTGGGACTTACTAACCCACGTGTGCTTCTGATCTTCACACACTCTGAGCACACTAGAGGCCTTCCCATGGACTGGGCCCCACATTGGCAGTGGGGCGAGTGCACAGTTCCTCCAAAGGACCTCACAGTTGTGCCTTGTCCTCTGAGAAAAGGTGTCAGCCAGTTCCACTGGAGGGCCGGCACTGTCGGAAATCCTACCTTAGCAGCTGAACCGAGGTCTCACCAGAGAAGACGTCAGTGTCAATTCAATTTCGAGGCACTTTTATAAAATTTAATCAAAGGTCATCATTAGAAAAAAAAATTGTGATTAAGAAATGAATAAAATTCAAGTCATATTGTTACCTCTGTTTTAAACAAAACAGTATTTTTTTACATATGAATTTTTATTTTAAAACATTTGATCCCAAGAAAGTATTTCACAGTAAGTGAGTTTTTAGCAAACCAGGAGAGTCATCAGTAGATGTGAGTTCTGTGATGAAGGGTTTCACAAAGTGCCCTAGATTGTTGATGATATTTTAATCATCTGTCCTTGGAATATGATGGACATAAAATCAAGAAGTGTACTGAACCTTGAATGAAATAGCAGGATGAATTCTGAGTCCCAGAAAACACCTGAGAACTAAGAATGCGTTTTTAATGCTCATGAAAAACAAATGGCGATATAGAATGTGGGACTAAAGAATGATTCCTTGAAGCCAGAAGTGGGTGTTCTGCAGGTGAAACCCAAGTGCAGCGCCCCCCACAAGGCTCCTTTCTGTGTTAAGAGCGCCTCTCTCCCCAGGGACAGCACTTTGTTTTCTTTCAGCTTTTCTGACATCATATGATGCAACCTGATGCAAAGCGATAGGCATCTTGTCACAGGAGAAATTCACAGAGAGGAGGAGGGCACGCTGCAGCTGATGCGGCAATTCTCAAGAGAGGCCTGGGAGTGGAGCTGAGCCATTGCAGAGGAAGGTGGAGAACCTCTTGAGAAGTTCATGGACACACAGTGTGGTTCAGAAGAAAAGTCAGGTTCCAGTGACTGAAGAAAAAAGCGAGACATTATTGCAGGCAAGGATCCCTGTGTTGGGATACAAAGCAATGCTGATTTCAGGATGTCTGTGTACGTCCGTGTGTCATGGGAAGGGAGCCTGGAGTTGGACATGAATAGGAACATCTGCTGAGGACAAGGACACGTGGGATCACATCTTCGGAGTACCGTTGTCTTCAGAGCCCCGCCCCTCTCTAGGCTGGAGGCAGGGAGGACAGGATGAGAGTATCTCCTCCCTTCCTGTTTCCCAGGGAGCATGACCAGCTTGGTGACTATCACAGCAGGTGAGCAGCAAACTTTCAGGCCAGCAGGGAGGGGCGACTGTGAGCAGAATGATGGCCACACAGTAGGTGTGTACTTTAGAGCAGGCGCCTCTCCTCGAGGTTACCCCAGCTCATGTGCCCGCAGATACCTTGGTGAGAATGATGTGCCTGACCCTCCCACAGCCTATGGAGCCCAGGTGGGGAGAGTCACTCTCCAGATCTTACATAAAGGACGCAGCACCTCACACACTGCTGTTACAGAGCAGGTAATAAATATTCATGATATGCAAATGAATAGTTATTTAAAATGTTTACTTTATCTATGTATGAATGAATGAACTGAACAAAGAGCAAAATACAGACAAGTAAGGTGTCACAAAGCTGGCTCTGTGTAGCCAGCCTGTTATCAAATTCATGTGTACAGTGCTAAGAGAAAACATATCCCACCAGCCAAGTGCCAGGCACTGACATGGGAGCTTCACATGTATGAAGGCGCAGAGCAATCGGCACAACCCTCTGCGTCATGGAAGAGGAAACCAAAGCCCGAAGAGCCTGGGCCAGGAGGCTGAGGCCCAGCGGGGACGGCTCCGGACCATCGCACTCGGCTTCAAGGCCCGCCGTCTGTCACTGAGGCTGTCAGAATCCCTGTCTTTTCTTGGTTGTCATATTTGCTTCTCACCTCATCACGTCTATTTTCCATGTGAGTCAAGCTTTGAGGTTACGTGGCTAATAGGTGAACCCAAATAAACCACGTTATGGCGTGTTTATTGCTCTCTGTACAGCACTACTAAGATGGGTGTTAAACCCAATTTCCTCCTCGTGAAAGAACATCTAAGTTTGGAAACTTCCCACTTTGCTGTTGATTATAAGGTTCAAAAAACACAGACTCCGTGACAGTGCTTCAGGTGCTTTCTGGCAGCTCTAAACACGAAGAGTACTATCATTTGAGGTTCTCAGGATTTTATGTTCGTTGAAGCAGAGTTAGTAAAATAAAATAATTTTAAATTTTCTTCTAAAGAATTGCCAAATAAGATTCTAAGGACATTCAAAAACAAATTTTGTCTATATACTCCTAATAAGAACATCCAGGTATTTCCAAATATCTAAACACTTGAAATTGTATGTAATCAGCAAGTATCATAGTATACCTTTATCATGACTGGTAAAAACTTTGGAAGATGAGTAAGTAATTGAAAAAAATTATTAGTTCCTGAAAGACCGTGAAATCTATTTCATAAGTTGGAAATGAAATCTAGCTATTAATTCAAGATCCTCTAGATAAATCATACCCTGGGTACCTTAAAAGAATCAAAGATTTTCAGTACTTTTTTCCACATACTCAAGGTATATTATTATAAGCCAAGAAAAGAGATAGACTGAGGCTTTCATTTATCTACTCATTAATCATTTATGGAGCATCTACACTGGGTCAGATATTATGTTAGGTATTGTGGATACAAAGATGAATGAAGCAAACTTCCTGTCCACAAATCATTGTAACTGGAGAGAATAATTTTAGCAGGGAAGAAGTAGAATTGTAAGTTGGGAAGGCAGATTTGAATAACAGAGCGGTAAATCTCAAATATTAGACTAAAGGCTTTATCCTGTAATTATTTGGAAGATAGGGAATTATTTGGAAAATATAATTAACATAAAAGAAATAATTAAAAACATACTACCAGCTCTGGAAGTAGCTTTAGAGCAGGGGTCCACAACCTCCAGGGCATGGTCTGGTACCGGTCTGTGGCCTGTTAGGAACTGGCTGCACAGCAGAAGATGAGCCAGAAGCCACGGGGAGCATTACCAACTGAGCTCCACCTCCTGTCAGATCAGCACTTGCATTAGATTCAGCAACACTGGAGCGCAAACACTATTGTGAACTGCGCATGGAGGGATCTAGGCTGCACGCTCCTTATGAGAATCTAACGCCAGATGATCTGTCACTGTCTCCCATCATCCCCAGATGGGATGTCTAGTGGCAGGGAAACAAGCTCAGGGCTCCACTGATTCTACGTGATGGTGAGTTGTCTAATTATTTCATTATATATTATGATGTAATAATAGTAAAAATAAAACACATGCTTGAATCATCCCAAAACCATCTCCCCACCCCCAGTGGTCCGTGGAAAAGTTGTCTTCCACGAAACCAGTCCCTGGTGCCAAAAAGGTCAGGGACTACTGCTTTACGGAATATCCAGCCTCTACTCTCATCCCCTCTGGACTGGAGCCCCTTTGTATCTAGAAAGGTGATTTATTTGTTGTGTTCTCTGCAGTGCCTGGTAGAAAGTAATCGCTCAATATATGTTTAATAAATAAATGAAAGAAACAGGAAAGTATAAACCCAAGTAACTGATTTAATGACTTGCCTGAGGTCACCCTGAAGTGGCCAGACCCCAGGTTCCCTGTTCGGCTATGACCAGAACCCATTCTTACCTCATTCATTGTTAAACATAAACTAGATGTTTTATCCACACAGAGATAGCTATCTAGAGATATGAACTTCCAGATACTTGGCTGTATTTTTTGTTTACATGTGGATATCTGATGTCTTGAAAATATACACATTTAGTCATTAAGTTTAAAATTAAAATGTAGGCCTAAAATTTTTTGGTGCCATACTTCCCCTAATAATATGATATGGGTCCACAAGCTATATTACATATTAGAAGAACCAATGAAGCCCCAGTCCTACAGATTTCTCTCTCTCTTTCACACACACAGCTCACCAAGATTATTGATTCTCCAGTCTTCCAAACACTCTGTTTCTCTACTGTAGCTCTAGGTGAAACAAGATGGGCCTGAGTTTATAGCTGCTGAAGTGGGTGATCACTCCATGCTTCTCATTAGACCATGGCCTCTTCATTTGTCTATTTTTCAATTGCCCATTAAAAAATGTTTTCAAATTGAGAGCCAAAACAGAATATCCATTAACAAATAAATGTACCGTTCAGTCGGCTTATTTAGCAGCAGTCAGAAGAAAACTTCAGAACTGAGCAGCTCAGGCATCTATAGAATTGTTTCTCAGCAGAGGGCTGAGCTGTCCGGGAGCACCAAATGTAGGCACCTGCCCAAGGTAACTTAGGAGATTTTCCCCCTTAGAAGGGAGAGAGAGAGAGGAGGATGGAGAACGGTTCTGCAGTCCCTTATATCTTTTTTTGTTTATTGTTTATTGGTTTTTTTTTTTTTTATGGTTTTTTTTTTAGACGGAGTCTGGCTCTGTCCACGCAGGCTGGAGTGCAGTGGCGCCGATCTCGGTTCACCGCAAGCTCCGCCTCCTGGGTTTACGCGCATCTGCCTGCTCAGACTCCCGAGTAGCTGGGCTACAGGTGCGCCACCCATGTCCGCGGTAATTTTGTTGTATTTTTACTGAGAGACGGGTTTTGTCGGCGTTAGCCAGTGCTACAAGCGATCCGATTTCTGCCTCTATCGCATCACCTCAGCCTCCTGCAGTCCTTATAATCTTATTGCAAAACTTTCTGCTGAACGGAAGAGCTGCCCCTCTGTTTCAGGGAGACATGTCACTTTTTATCACCCAAAACTTTAAAAACATTATATTATTCCAGAAGGTTAAAATTTCCCAGAGTTGTCAGTAAGTGAAATAAGTTACTAGG